CACATCCTAGCCCACTTTCTCTGGCCTCTGGTTCCACCGCCCACCCTGCTGTGCACCAGCTGGGGGTCAGTCTGCAAGCTGGGCAGTAGTAGCAGTTCTCACCCCTGTGGTTCAGGTCCCAAACCTGTGCTGGGCTGAATGCAAGTGGTTTCACACATAGGCAGCTTGGGGGTGAGCCAAGGGCTTCACACACAGACTTGAAGGATCCTTTCTCCAGCTCCTTCCTCTCCCCAATCTGTCCCACACTCTCTGCTTCCCCAGGTCCTGACTAGAAAGCTGGGCTCCACCTTCCCCATGCTGTCACCGTACCGGTGGCAACAGGGACTCTGCTTCTTTGATGGCACTCGCCTAGTATAGAGTGGAGAGGGCACAGGACTCCACCCCAGGGGTCCCTGCTGCTGTGTCTTTGGGAAGGGGAAAGGGTGCCTCGCTTTTGATGGTGTTCATCTGGAGCACAGTAGGTGAGATTAAAAGAGTTTAATTCACTGGCTCCCTCCTTCAGGGTCCTTTGTGCAGAGAAAGGAGGCTTTTCTGTTGTTTGGGGTTTTTTTTTTTCTTTCTGTCTGTGCCTGTTGACACTTTTGGGCTACTCTAGTGCCCAAGCTGGGATAGATCGGACGCAGAAACTCCCAACTCTTCCGTGTGATACTACAGTGGTTTGTCCAAACCCATGCACTCCACAACACCAAGAGCAAACCCCAACACAAACTACGGGCTTCGGGGGATGATGGCGTATCCATGCAGCTTCATCAGCTGTGACAGATGCACCCCTCTGGTGGGGAATGTTAATAATGGGCGAAGCTGGGCATGAGTAGGGCTGGGGGCCTGTGGAAAATCTGTAGCTTCCTTTCAGTTTTGCTAGGGACCTGAAACTGCTGTAAAAGAAATAAAGGTTATAAAACAAACAGAAAACCCGAGAAGGCCCTTCTGGGGTGTACTTCCAGTTCCAAAATGCCCACCCGGTGCCCCTGCTCTTAGCTGCCTTTCTGAGTCCTGTGATGGCTATTTCCTATGTTTGGTCCAGAATTTGTAGTTGTGGTGAGTGGGAAAACATGGAGTGCACTTGCTCCGTCTCACCTGGAACTGGAAGTTCAAGCTTCTGCCTTTGAATTTCCTTCTTTCTGTGTGTGGTGGTGTTCCCTGGGGTCGGCCCCTATCCTTAGACATCATTTAGAGGGGTGCAACCTGTGCTGGTCACCTCTGCCTTCCGCAGTAACTTGCCCCCAAGCCCGACCCCACGGACACTTGTACTGCAGATCAGGCCCGGACCCTCTGGTGGTGTCCCCCGCCAGCCCTAGCAGCTTCCAATTTGTGATGCCCCAGAAGCACCTCTTTGCTTCTTGTCGGTTTACTCAGCAGTTTCCGACCCTGGTTTGCTCAGTCCCTGCTCTGCTTCAAGCCCTTCTGTTGATTTCTGTGGCCCCACTCAGAGGTTCTTACAGGGTAGGTATAGCTGCCTGCATTTCTAGAAAGAGAAAGGCTTCCAGCTATAAATGCATGGAAATCTTTGGCAGGATCGGGAATTCCTGGCCAGAGGATCCCAGAAATTGCCTCCCCACTCCCGCCTGTCCTGCCTGCCAAGACCTGGTTCCCACCAGCCTGCTCCCCAGCCCTGCATCCAGCTGTCATTCCCTAGAGCACCCACCCTGTGCAGTTGTCATGGACACATAGCATTCCTTCAGGGAATGTGCTCCATCATGGTGTGGGGTTCCAGCTTCTCTGTAGCGGGGGCCACAGGTGGAGTGGGGAGCACAGCATCCAGAACCATCTGACAGGACAGATGGCATCAGGCAAGCTATTGTTTTCCCATTTGTCAAATGGGAGTGACCCTAGGAACTTACAGCGCTGTGCTGGGATTAGCAGTGAGGTCTGTAACAGCCTGGCACGCTGTGGGTGCCCGGGAATGGGGAAGGAGGGGTTTTGTTTCTGAGATGATTTCCCTGCTCCTCTTCCGTATAGGAACCAACAGCACATGCTGGGTGGAGCTGTGGGATGGAGGGGTGCTGTGGACTCAGGCTGCCTCATGTGGAGGCTGCACTGGCTGTGTTCTCCCCACCCCCTTCCCGCCGCGGGAGTGGAATCCAGCAGGAATGCACGTTGCGTTCTTCCCTGGATACTTGGGCCACCTGCACCATCTGGTGGGGCTCATGGAGCATGGGGCCTGCGAGTTATGTCCCCACCCACGCCTGCTCCCACATTTATGCCCCATTTTCAGAGGGAGAATCTGACCCCTGGCTAGAGCTGCAGGTGGGGGAAGGAAGCCCAGGCGAGTTCGTAAGTCTTTGAGGGTCTTCCTGTCCTCTTTCTCGACCCTTCCTGCTTTCCTCTGTGGCCCTGCCGTGCCTGCCTGCTCCCTAGGGCACCCTTGGTCTGTCTGAAGGCCACCATCCTTTAGTTGCTGAACCACCTTGTCCCAGGACGTGCTGTCAACTTAGTAACTCCGACCTTCGGTCTATTTCCTAATTTTATGTTGCTTTTTCGGCTCCCCAGCAGTTGACAGCCTCAAGACCCAGTGCTCAGCCAAGGACAGGGCCTGCTGATGTCAAAGCCTCAGGCCCAGCTTGGGTGATAGAAACCAGGACCCCCAGTGCCCCTGGGCAGGCGCCATCCTGGAGGCTGCAGTGTGCCAAGCACAGTGCCTGGCACCTTCTCAGGGTTTGCCGGCCAGCTGAATCCTTTTTATTGGTGAGAAGCCTGGGTCCCAGAGAGATGCAGTAACTTGCCAAGGTCACCCAGCGGGGCAGTGGTAGGACTGCGTTTGAGCCAAGATCCATGCCGCCCTGCACAGGAGTTCTGCGTCAGGGCAGCAGCTCAGGTGCAACCAGCCTGGGGGTGGCAGCCCTTGTCACCTGGGGGCAGGTGGAGGCCTAACCGGAATTGAGGTTCCAGCCCCGCTCAGCCGCTCACCAGCTCTCTGTCCCTGTGGCTGGTCAGCCGCAAGCCCACCTGATGCACCTGGCGGCACTCGTGGCCCTGCCCTGCCCCAGCCTCAAGGTGAGATGGCCGATGGGAGGGATTGTGAGTGCTGCTGGGTCACCGGATAGAGGGAAGGCTTATTAACGAGGACCACGTGGTGGGGTCTGGCCAACGGGCCGCTGTCCTGTGGCAGTTTGGCAAAGACAGGAGCTGCCAGCCTGAGAAGCTGGGTTAGGCTCCCTTCGGTGGATGCACACACCTCATACCTGTGCACACGCCTGCAGCTACGTGCTACATGCACACACCCGTGCCACACTTACGCAGATGTGCACTCATGCTACACACACAGAGACACAGGAGGAAAATGTTGAGGGACAGAAATCAGCTCAGATGATATCAGCCTGCACTTGGGTCCGGAACCTTGGAGAGAACAATCTTTCCAGACTTTTGGGATCTGGTGGAAAAATCTCCCCTCTGGGGCTCCTCTGCTCCTGCTTTTGTCTTCTGGGACCCCTTGAGGTCTGTGGCAGGGCCCCGACCAGAGCACAGTGTCTGTGTTAGAGCCTCCAGAGGGCCCGCGTGCCCGCCTGAGGCAGCGTCTCCCCACTTGGATGCTCAGTTCTTGAAATGCGCTTCCCAGCAGCCTGTGTAGGCTCCGGGCTCCGGCAGCATCTCCACGCTGTTCCCACTGGCCCTTCTCCTGGCAGAGGCAGCCTGCAGCAGTTCTCCACCCGGTGGTGACAGGCTGTTCTTGTTTGGAAACAGAAGACACCATCGCTGCTTTTTTTTCCCCCCTTTCCTAAAACACGAGGCTCAAGTTCAGTGATGCCTGTGAAGTGCCGGCTCTGTGTGTGCACGTAGAGGGCACCTGGGCCCTTAGCGCCCCGGTCCCCTCTCTGTCAGCCTCTTTCCTCCTGGTCCTCAGAAGAGCACCGTGGCCCCGCCTGCTGCAGGAGCTGTGCCAGCCAGGGGCCCTTGGAAAATCAGTCGTTAGGCCATGGGCACGTGGGGTCAGTGGGCAGACATTGGAGGCTTTCCCGGTTGTCAGTGACCCAAAAAATCACTTTCGGTTTTTGTGACTCAGAAATGAGCTCAACCCACACACCCTTTAGATGTTCTGAAACTCAGGGCCGAGTCCTCCGGATGGCTGTCAGCTGTGGGATTTTCTAAGTGAGCATTTTTATAGAGACCCATGCACAGCTGGACTCTCTGGAGGTAGTGAATGGAAATTTTACTATGTATCTTACCAGCTTAAAAAGAAGGGGGCTTGCCTTTAATCTCATGTTTCCCGGCACCCCGCATGTTGGTGGTTATGTGTATGGGTGGTTGTCTGTTTATTTTGATCTACACCCTGGGAGGCAGGGTGATCCATGAGCTAAAATAAGTCAAGCGGGGGACGGTGCCTTTTCAAATGGTCCCTGGGTGGTCAGGGGCCTTAGGACATGGGCTGTCCTAAGGAGCTTGAGTTGTTTAGGAGGGACTAGATGTGGGTTGTAAAGTAGGTGAGAAGCCAGGTAAGCTCTTACACACAGTGATTGGGAAAAAGAACCTGGGAGAGCATCCCATAAAAGGGGCGGGAGGTGACTATCAGGTTAAGTCACATTTGGGAAGGGTTTGTCGGGGCGGCAGAACTGAAGAACTGGTAGAATTCGGAGGCCCAGGGAGTCCGTCTGGATGGAGAGGGTGTGAGCCGAGGCCCAGAATGGGGCGTTGGGCGGGGGGGGGGGGGGGGGGGGGGGGGGGGGGGCCTCACCACTCAGGGGGGCAGGCTGGCGAAGGTCAGCAGTGGCCTTCCGGGCTCTGCAGCCTGTTGCGCCTGATACTCCTCTCAGCCGCGGTAAGGATAGAAACCAGAGTGGGCTTGAGGACAGAGGCTCGGTTCCTGTTTCACTTCATGGGTCTTCTGGCTCTGAATTCCCTGAAAGCAGCTCTGCCACCAGCCTGCTTTCTGGGTTCGATTATCGGGTATAGCCTGGGTATGTGTTTCTCCAATTAAGGGAACCCTCCGCACAGGGTATAGAGGGCGTAAATGTCCAGGCCCATGTCTTCAAAGGCATTCCAGCGGGGGCTGCCGAAAGGAAGGGATGTGTTATGTCACCAGTGAGTCGTGGGTCTTTCTGGAAACTTGGAATGTGGCATGTGCGCCTGTATCCCCGAGTGTGTCACCTTGTTACCTCAGCTCTGAGGCCTTCCACGTGCCACCATTCTGGGCACAGCTGTCTAGGTTCTGACATCCCCTAGAGAAAAGCGGGTCTCGTGGTGGTGGCAGCAGGCGCGCCCTCGACGTGCAGAACGACGCCGGCGAGTTCGTGGACCTGTACGTGCCGCGGAAATGCTCCGCCAGCAACCGCATCATCGGCGCCAAGGACCACGCGTCCATCCAGATGAACGTGGCCGAGGTTGATAAGGTGACGGGCAGGTTCAACAGCCAGTTCAAAACCTACGCTATCTGTGGGGCCATTCGCAGGATGGGTGAGTCCGATGACTCCATCCTCCGACTGGCCAAGGCCGATGGCATCGTTTCCAAGAACTTCTGACTGGAGATCACGGATGTGGGATGTTTGTCATAAATAAATAGTAAAACTCCCCCCCCCGCCAAAAAAAGAGAGAAGCGGGTCTCTCCACACAGGTTCCTTGGGCTCCTGCTGTCCCGTGGGCTCTGAGCACCCCATGGCTGTGACCTCCCCCTTGTCCTGGAGCCTCTTTGGAAGGTGGGTTCTCAGAAAGCTGGTGGCTCTGAGGTGGTCAAGGGTCCCACCGTGCAAACAGACCAGCCCGACCTTCCGATTGCCCCCGGCTCTTTTAGCGGCATTCCCCACCCTCCGGGCCAAGAGCAGAGCAGGGCTCAGGCTGGATTAAGGCAAGCCCGGGGAAACATACCTGCACCGCCGAGATTGGTTTTAAGAAGACAGAACATGCCTCCTACCGGGAAGATCCAGGTGGGCACAGCAAAGAGCCCCGGGCATAAGCTGTCAGAGGTCCTTTCACAAGGGCTGAGGGGGGACGCACACCTATTAGATGCCTGCTGTGTGGCACATGCTGTTGCGAATGTGTGATCTGACTGGGTCTCCACTGCTCACCTCTACCGGGGGGAAGGCGGTGCCCACTCTGGAGGTGAAGGGATGCCAGGACAGCTACCTCAGGTAGTGGGCTAGAGTCAAGGTCGTGAAGAGCAGGAATCGGCCTCGTTCTCTTCAGGTCTGTCAGGGAGGTCTGAGCTCAAATTCTGTGCCCTCGAAAGTACCTGAGTGAGGTGCCAGCCTGATAGTGTGATTGCTGGGCAGAGTGACCCAGTTGAACCAAACTGTTATTTCTACCATGTGCGGTATTTCTGGGAGAAGCGCCAGGCTCACAGCTGGTGTCGGATACCTCTGGGAGCCTTTCCAGATGCCTTGTTTCCCCTGGGACCTCAGGATTCCTGAGGGAAGGGCCTCTTCCCAGAATGTGTACCCCTGATGGGCCCAGGGCCTTCTGTGGTGCAGTGGTCCACTCTGCCCCGTCTGTGGCTTGAGTCTCTCCTCTAGAGGACTTGCTTTTCCTAAAAGGTGCTTTCAGAACTGAGCGTACTGCAGACCCTCATCGGGACCTGCCGGGTCTGCCGGCTGGGCTGGCCGGTGACAGAGATAGAGGCCTGAGTGGGCAACTGGCAGCTCTGCCATTGGGGGTGTCTCGGGTGTGTGGATCCTGTCTCCTCCCACGGTGCCAGTGCCGGGGAAAGCAAGAGGGGAGCTGGGCCTGGTTCCCAAGCCTGGCTGACTGAGGCGTGAGCATGGAGCCCGGACCAGGCTGTCACTCTGTGATGACAACTGGGATTATCACCGTAGGTGGTAATTCCCACATGACAGTTTCAGGTTTCAGGTCAAGAGCTGAAGCTAGTCCTCTGTCGCCTCTTTCATCTGGACAGAGATCCTTGCTGGCTTGTTTTCTGGCTCTTTCCTCAGCTGTTCTCAAGGCCTTGTGCTCCACAGAGAGCCTGTGGCCTGCGGACTCTGAGCCCCAGGGGAATGGGGAAAGCTCTGCTCCCGCTGATCCTGGCTGCAGGAGAGACCTGTGGGACGGAGGAGGGCCACAGCCTCCCTGGTAGACCAGCAATGGGCTGCTGAGAAGGGCGGAGTGGGGCTGCCATTTGGAGCCCTGGTGGGCTTTGCAGCAGGCCAGATGGATGGGATAACCCTGCCAGGGTCACCCTCTGACCCATGGTAGCCTGAGGCCCGGTGGGTGCCAAGGGTTCTGCTGAAACATGGTTTGCGGCCCAGAGAAGAATCTTCCCAGTAGCCCCAAGCACATGAGCTCCTGCTCTCCACCACCATCCCCCGCCCCCGCCCCCGCCCCACGACCTTTCCCAAAGTGGAGCCTTCAGCCTCACAAGGAAGTACAAGGTAATGCTGAGTACCCTAGGAGAAGTCAGGCAAGAGGTAATATGCAGTTTTTTGGAAAGGAGCTTCACAGGTTGGACCCCACGAATAGCCGAGGCTTCTGATAATTATGATAAATGATGCTTATGCTTCTGTATGCTTCTTCCCTCTGGCAGGGGAAAGGTGGCCTGCTTGTCACCCCCTCAGGGTGTGAGGGTGGAGTGTCATTATCCCCATTTCACTGGTGGGAACATCAAGAGAAACGAGCTTCCGAGTGGCTGCGGTAATCCCAGTTTGTTTGTTGTCTTCTTTCCGGCATGATGGAAGAAGGCCCTGGAGGTTGGATTGGGGGGCGGGGTGGGGAGGGTGGAGTCTGGAAACAGAGGAATTATATTTCCTTTTCCAAAGGTGTAGGTCAAGGATGGTAGAATTCCTGGCCACTTGATTCAAGTGCACAGAAGGTTTTCCAGGAGAAAATCCATTCTGTCCTAGACTTCGAGACCCTGCTGCCTCCTGGTCTTTCCTTGGCTTTTGACATTGGGTACATCTCAAGTTTTGGTGCAGAATATAAAATATCCCCCCTCACCCCTGCTGCCCCAGCTTACTTCCGGTTCATCCCCAGGATGCCTGAAGTCAGGGATCGAGCTCAGGGTGGGGCTAAACCCTCAGAACCTCCAGGAGGTGGCCTTGGCCAAGCACACCTGCCTGGCTGGATCCCTGCCTTTCAACTCAACTCATTAGCCGTGGGGCTCAGGGAGTGTTGCTTCCAATCCCAGACCTTCAACTTTCATCTGTGAGACAAGGTATTGGCTCCCTTGCAGAGGTGTGAGGACTTGAGGCCGAGCACCTGGACAGTGTCTGTTGCCGTGACTGTGTGCTGCCCCCACAGGGGTCTCAGAGCCCCTGACTCAGGCCAGCATCCCAGGTGCCTTCCCCTCTTTGCATCCAGAAGCCAGCAAACCTCTCAGGAGTGCCGTAGATTGGGGTGACCCAGGACTAGAGCAGAGGGGAGATTTGCAGACTAGCCTCCAGAACTGATCAAGAGCCATGCCTCTCTGGGGCAGGAATGTGGGCAAGCAGGGGGTTCCCTTGTCTGGTGGGGAGTCTGTGACTCCCAGTGGAAATCCACTGAGGATGGAACAGGGCTGCAGTAACAAAACCCCAGAGACTGGGGGGCTTAAACAACAGACACTGGTTTGTCATAGTTCCAGAAGCTGGGAAGTCCCAGATCAGTGTGCTGGCCAAATCAGTTCTTGGTGGAGACCTTCTTCCCGACTTGAAGACATCTGCCTTCTTGCTGTGTCCTCACATATCAGAGAGAGAGAAAGAGCACTGGTGTCTCTTCCTCTTAGAAGAACACTAATCCCATCATGGGGCCCTACTCTCTCAAAACCTCTCGTGAGGTTAGATTCTCATCCAAATCTAATTACCTCCCAAAGGCCCCACCTCCAAATACCATCACATTGGAGTTTAGGGATTCAATATGTGAATTGCGGGGGGGACACGGACATTCAGCACATAACAGCTTCACAGGCATATGGTCAGTCTGTCCCCAGTGTTGGTTTCTGACTTGTGGGTGCTATGAGCTTGTCATTTTAATACTTTCAGTTTCCTTATGTGCGCATAAAGCCCCCTTTCAGAGCAGGATGAAGGGAGCAAAATGAGCTCCCCTTGTCAGGTCCTGAGGTCAGGAAGGAAGAAGGTGCTGGGATTTCACTCAGGTCTCCCACCCTTCCTGTTCTGCCCTTAAGGGAGGGACAGTTGGCGGACTATTGTGTGTGAGGGGTCCAGAATGCTTGGTTTCTAGAATTTCTGATTTGTACAGTTGCAAGATATCCTGGTAGTTTTGGTCTGTTCTTGAGTAGCATAGTCTGGGGCAAATCTACAATAGCTTAGCTTCTGAGGGAGAGCGGCACTGGTTAAGAAGAGCCCAGGAGGGCGGGAGTGTGTTGGGTGGCTGCAGGGTGTGAGGCTCGGGGCTGGCCTGTTGCCCTCTGACCTCGTGAGGCACAGTGGCTGCTGTTTTCTTCTCTCTCTGCTGTCTTGAGTCCGGAATGTGGAGGTGCTGTGGGTGCGCTGCTGAGCGTGGACAGCCCCCGGGTGGCTGCGGCTGGCTGGACAGAGTCCCATTTCCATGAGTGGGTGAGTCATTGACCATGAAGACACTGGGTGGGAAGCAGCTTCTCAGGGCCGGTACCTGATCTCCACAATTACTCTATGTATTGGTTTCCTAGGGCTGCGTAACAAAGAACCACACACTGGGTGGCTCCCACAAGAGACATTTATTGTCTCACAGTTATGGAAGCTGGAAGTCTGAGATTGAGGCGTTGGCAGGGTTGGTTCCTTCTGAGGGCTGTAAAGGAGAATCTGTCCCAGGCCTCTGGTTTTTGGATTTTTTGTTGGTTTTGTTTTGTTTTGTTTTGTTTTTTTGGTTTGTAGATGACTGCCTTCATGTTCGCGTGACATTCTCTCTATCTGCTGGTCTGTCTTTAAATTTCCCTTTTCTGGGGCACCTGGGTGGCTCAGTTAAGTGTCTGCCTTCGGTTTAGGTCATGGTCCCAGGATCCTGGGATCGAGCCCCACATCTGGCTCCCTGCTCCACGGGAAGCCTGCTTCTCCCTCTCCCACTCCCCCTGCTTGTGTTCCCTCTCTCGCTGTGTCTCTGTCAAATAAAGAATTAAAAAAAAAAAAGCCTCCGACTCTTGGTTTTGGCTCAGATCATGATCTTGGGGTTGTGAGATCGAGCCCCACATTGGGTTCTGTGCTCAGCACAGAGTCAGCATGAGATTCTCTCTCTCCCTCTGCCCCTCCCCCTACTTGTGCTCTTTCTCTCTCTCTCTAAATAAGTAACTAAAATCTTTTTTTTTTAAGATTTTATTTTATTTGAGAAAGAGAGAGTGAGAGAGAACATGAGAGGGGAGAGGGTCATAGGGAGAAGCAGACCCCACTGAGCAGGGAGCCCGATGTGGGACTCCATCCCAGGACTCCAGGATCATAACCTG